GGGGGGGGGGGGATTCTCATGGGGGATTGAGGGATCTAGAGTAGAACACTGATTAGTATTTGATGATGCAAAGTGCACCTGCAGCCCTGCATCTGTTCACTGGTAATTAGATCAAAAGGTGTGACCAGGAGAGGGATTAAACTGTTCTACCTCAAACTTAACCCGGAGATAATAGGCTGTGTGCTATTCAATAGACCCAGAGATAGCTGAACTATTCCGCACACCAAAACCAAAGGATTAAAGGGAATGATTTTGTAAACCCTTCGCAAGAGTGTCCCTAAAGCTAAAAGAAATGAGTTTTTGCCACAAACTCTAATTTTTTAATCCCTTTATCTTTGCAACCTTTGATATTTCAAACTATAAATTCTGTTAGATCAAAAAGTCTAAGCTTAAAATATTAAAAGGTTTACACCATCTGGTTGCAAAGATAAAAAGATTTAAAGCTTGTTTTTGTAGCAAGAACTCATTTCCTTTAAAGCAAAGGATAAAGGATACTAAACCTAATATCTTCTAATGCATTAAATCAAGAACTCTGCCTAGAATAAATCCTAGAAAAAAAGGAAATTCTTACACTACGGCTTACGAAGAAACTTATCCTAAATCCTTGAAACTTACCAAGAAATATCTTCCTTACCCTGAACAAATGAGAGTTACAGGGCTAAATAAAAAATTGGTTTCTTGCAAGTATATTTAGCACAGACTAAAAAATATATAGACCAGGAACCGCCATATGTCATACGTTAAATCAGTGTACTGCAGTGGGAGGAGAACAAAACAAAGAATTCAGGGGCAACGCATCATTTTTGGGGGGAAAGGGTCAAAGGGGTGGAATAAGAATATATTGCTATTGTATTTTCCATATTGACCAGGAAGCCAAAACTCATAAGTATTCGCTCTAACTTGATATATTAACTTGTTTTTTGTTGGACTATAACATCACATCAGAGCTTTAGTCCTTTCCCTTCAACTTCTGTGGGGGCACTGGGTTTGTTTACATTCCTCCCACAGAGTACAGTACACAATTTGCGCATATCTGAGTTGGGCGTTCCTGTATATAATTCCTTGACACAGACTAAGAATATTGAATTCAATTTAATATTTAAAGGTGATAATTGATATTGTAAGCAATGGTAATGGATTTCTAAATAGAAAAAATCCTGACATGAATTGAATATTATTATGATAATTACAGTTTATATTATAGATGTTAATTCTATCGTGTATAAACCTAATATAAACTTCTGTTATCATAATAACAGAGTCAACTCATCTAAACCCTGTGATGGTAATAATCAACTGTATTATGATAATAGTGTGTGGGCATGAAGTGTTAAAACTATTCTAGTAGAGATGGATGTTAAAAAAACTGTTTACAATTTCATCTCAATGATGATTGATGAATGACAGGTGGAAGAATTGGGGTTCGACGAAATCAAACCGGAACGATTACGATTAAAAATGTCAAATGGTAATTTCTCCTTTTTTGATAATTAATGAAACGTATCCGAAACTGGAGAAGGGCTTTGTTTTTATAAAGACGACATCATCCGGAGTAGGGTAGATATTAAGATTGAAGGTATGTATCCAGCAGTGATGAGGATAAGCTACTATCCAAGAGTGAGAATGAGCTAGTATCCAGGAGTGAGGATGAGCTAGTATCTAGGAGTGAGGATGAGCTAGTATCCAGGAGTGAGGATGAGCTAGTATCTAGGAGTGAGGATGAGCTAGTATCCAGAAGTGAGAATGAGCTGGTATTCAGGAGTGAGGATGAGCTAGTATTCAGGAGTGAGGATGAGCTAGTATTCAGAAGTGAGGATTCGAGCTAGTATCTAGGAGTGAGGATGAGCTGGTATCCAGGAGTGAGAATGAGCTGGTATCCAGAAGTGAGAATGAGCTAGTATCCAGAAGTGAGAATGAGCTAGTATTTAGAAGTGAGAATGAGCTGGTATTCAAGAGTGAGGATTCGAGGTAATATCCAGGAGTGAGGGGAGCTGGTATCCAAGAGTAAGGGGAGCTAGTATCCAGGGGTGAGGATGAACTAGTATCCAGGAGTAAGGGGAGCTGGTATCCAGGAGTAAGGGGAGCTAGTATACAGGAGTGAGGATGA